ACTTGATACAGGTTTCACGCTTATACACACTCATCAGCAAGAATCATCTGCAAAACTTTGTTCAGATTAGTCTCCCTCTGGAATTCAATTAATCCATTGTCTAGCTGTTAGGCTGAGAAATTCCCTGTTCTACTAGTCTCCTAAATAACTTAACCACTTACACAATTTCATCAATCTACGTTAAAGTACAATCCTCAGATAATAGTCAGATATCAATAGCATCAGAGATATGAACGTTTATTATTATTCATATTTGTCCCTCGAGTTCCTAATGGAACATGGGGATTCAGTAGCACGTCTCCAGTGCACTCTGTTCGCTGAAATCTTTTGAACATGGCTCCACAATAGCCCACAAGCTCTCATTTCCTCCTCACACGATCTCCTCCATGTCACCCTCTTCTCGGACGCCCAACTCATCGCTTCCCATCGGGGCTCGTCACCCGGCCAGAGTTCCTTGTTGCTTATTCTTTTTATTCTGGTCATCTGATCTTAGGCAACGAGCCAGCGTAGGTGGTTGTTGATGAATATCTGTAGTTTGTTGGAAATGCTTTCCGTAACTCACCAAGTCTCTGAGCCATACAGAAGCACTGATTTGACGTTGGTGTTGAAAATCCGGATGTTCTTCACGCTTTATGCTGAGTGCAGAAGATCTCCACACTGGTTTCAGGCAAATAAACGCCTGTCTTGCTTTTCCGATCCTGACTGGCTTTGACATCCTCATCTGTACCGTCGCCGCCTGTAGTTGAAACGGTGCTGCCTAGATAGGTGAAGGAGGCTACTTCCTTTAAGTTTCTCCCGTTGATGGTGATTGGAGCTTGTTGTTGTTGGTTGGGTATCTTCATCACCTCTGTCTTCTCCATGTTCGTTTGAAGTCCCGTCTTCGCTGCCTCACTTCTTCTGTCAACTTGTTAGCTTTCGTCTGTAGATCTTCAAGTATGTGCGACATTAGACATAAGTCATCGGCAAAATCTAGATCTTCTAGGTTCTTTTCCCCGGTCCAGCGTACCCCTCCTCTCGCCCCCCACTGTTTGTTGCATGATCCAGTCAACCACAGTCAAGAATGTCATGGGTGATAGTAGACAACCTAGTTTCACTCCTGTCTTCACTTCAAAAGCATCACTGTGCTTCCCCTTGTGAACTACTTGGCTGGCATGTGGCATCTTCATATAGTTGTTGAATGAGGCGGATGAAGGTTTGCGGTACTCCGTAGTAATGAAGCAGTTTCCAAATTACCTCTCCGTCAACTCTGTCAAGGGCCTTCTCAAAGTCGATAAAGTTGAGGTGTAGAGTTGACTGCCATTCTATGCTCTGTTCTATGATGGTGCGAAGCGTTGCAATTTGGTCCGCACATAATTTGTACTTCCTCAAGCCTGCCTGTTCCGGTCATAGTTTTGAACCCGGCGCATCCTTTAGTCTCTTTATAATGATGTGGCTTAATATTTTGCTTGCTCCGGGTGGACAGGAGAGTGATTCCACACCAGTTCTTGCAAACACTGAGGTCTCCCTTCTTTGGGAGTTTGACAAGGTAAGCCTTCTTCCAATAGCCAGGTACCTTCTTTTTTTTCCACACCCTCTGCAATAGTGGTGTGAGCATGTCTGCTGTTGTCTCTGCATCTGTTCTCAGTGCTTCTAGCGGGATTTCATTTGGTCCTGCTGCTTTCCCGCATTTCAGTAGCCTTATGGCACTCACGACTTCCACTTTTGTTGGAGGGCTTGTGTTCACTTTTAGTTCTGTGGCTGCAGGTGGTATTTCTGAATGAAGTGCAAAAAAGGGTGGTGGTCGATTCAAGAGCTTTTTGAAGTGGTCAGCCCATCGTTTCCTCTGTTTCTCTTATTTGGTGATTAGATTTCCTTCGTCATCTTTTATTGGCTTCATCTGTGTTGATCTCTTACCAGATAGTAACCTGGTTATTTGACACAATGTTGTCAGGTCTCTCTTCCTACCAGTAGCCTGTTCTGCTTCACTTGTCAGTGTGTCGTGGAAGTGACTTCTGTCTTTCCGCGCACTCTTCTTCACTCTTTTGTTTAGCGTTTTATACATTGTACTCAGTTCCTCTTGTCGTTGTGCATCCTTGCACTGGTTTATCTTCTGCTTCACCATCTTCCACTCCGCTCTATTAGCTTCCATGTGTCCATCGATATCCATTCCTTGTCTTCTTTCTTCTTCCTTCCTAATACCACTGTGCAGGTTTCTTTCCACATCTCTTTCAAAGAGTTCCAGTGTTCTTCCACACAGGTTTCTTCAGGGATGTTGCTCGTTATCTCCCATTTGGTCTTAATGGCTGACGTGAACATCTCCTTTGTAGTTTCATCCTTCAGTTTCCGAGTGTTGTACTTGAACTGTGGTCTATCACCAGCTTCCTTGAAGGCTTTTAACTTGATTTGGAAGGTTCCTTGCACTATATAGCGGTCTGAACCTTCATCGGCTCCTCTTCTTGACCTTGTGTTCAGTAGACTGTGTCTCCATTTTCTTGAGATTGAGATAAAGTCGATTCGATTTTTAGTGTGTCCGGTGTCTGGTGAAATCCATGTCGCTTTGTGGATATCTTTGTGCTTGAACACACTGCCTCTAATCACCAAATCGTTGAATGAACAGAATCCTGCTAACAGTTCTCCATTTTCATTCATTTCACCGAGCGCTTCTCAACCCATTATCACTTCTCTTCCTATGTTGTCCGCTCCGAATTCAGCATTCATGTCACCCATTAGAATTTCGATGTCGTCAACTGGGGTCTTGTCCAGTATTGATTGCAGTTGTCTGTAGAATTCCTCCTTCTTTTCTTGATCTGCATTATTTTTAGGTGCATAGAGTAGCATTGTACGATTGTAACTTTCCTCCCTTTTGAGTTGAACCTTGCTGTTATGATCCTAGAGGAGATTGGTCCCCACTGCATGAGAGCCTGCAATGCTCTTGGGAACATCATGATAGCCACCCCCTCAGTGTGCTGGTGGTTGTCATCTGGGTGACAAAAACGGAGTAGATCATTGATTCTCCAGTTGATAGTTTGGAGGGTCCATTCCCATTCCATCTGCTATCACAGATTTCTACCACTTGAATGTGATACCTCTTCATCTTGTTTGCAATCTGAGCTGCCTCGCTGGGTTCAAACATCGTGCGGACATTCCATGTCCCCACGTGTACTTTCGCTTTCATCGAGAGAAGACACATCAGCAAATTAGCTTCCCGAAGGCTTTCACCAGTCGGCATCATTTCGCCTCTCCGATTCCAGCAAGGAATAATTTTGTTATTACTTTTTATGTTTTTTTTGTGCTGTGAAGTTTCTTTAGCGGTTAGATTTGTTTTATGGGGTAGGGTTGCTAGCCCTACGCCCAACTTTCCCTCTTTACCCGGGCTTAGGACCAGCTAGTAACTAGTGAACTAGTTAACCAGGCGAGGTTGATACGAACGTTATGTTCAGTTTGAAAGTTGATTTGTGGAGGTTAACATTGTCACTATCATTTTATATCTTACCAAAGAAAAACAACTTTATTATCACCATGATGGAATTACTTTAAAGATCACCCTAGTAACAACTGAAATGACTAGTTAAATTTCTCTGTTTCGGTTCGTATGGCAGTTTTTCCATAAAATACAGAACCTTAATTGGTTATTTCATTAGTTGTTAGGGTGGGTTTTCAAGCCATTTGCGTCTGCTAAACATTTTTTTTCTGAAATTTTTATTTACTGGTGAACGTCTTGAATATAATCCATAGTCCGCGTTCAAATTATGGTAACTCCATGACCTTGACACTTCATTTTAACAGTTGTGTTTCTATTTCTCCCTGTATGAGACAGTAGCATGCTACTGTTTCACTGAGTGATATTTCTAATAAACAGACTAAAATGGAATTACAGTCGACCGCAGTGCCCAAGTTTTACTCTTATAATAAATTTACGGTTACTAAAAATAATATAAACGGGCTGGATTTTGCCGATGACTTATGTCTAATGTCGCACATACTTGAAGATCTACAGACGAAAGCTAACAAGTTGACAGAAGAAGTGAGGCAGCGAAGACGGGACTTCAAACGAACATGGAGAAGACAGAGGTGATGAAGATACCCAACCAACAACAACAAGCTCCAATCACCATCAACGGGAGAAACTTAAAGGAAGTAGCCTCCTTCACCTATCTAGGCAGCACCGTTTCAACTACAGGCGGCGACGGTACAGATGAGGATGTCAAAGCCAGTCAGGATCGGAAAAGCAAGACAGGCGTTTATTTGCCTGAAACCAGTGTGGAGATCTTCTGCACTCAGCATAAAGCGTGAAGAACATCCGGATTTTCAACACCAACGTCAAATCAGTGCTTCTGTATGGCTCAGAGACTTGGTGAGTTACGGAAAGCATTTCCAACAAACTACAGATATTCATCAACAACCACCTACGCTGGCTCGTTGCCTAAGATCAGATGACCAGAATAAAAAGAATAAGCAACAAGGAACTCTGGCCGGGTGACGAGCCCCGATGGGAAGCGATGAGTTGGGCGTCCGAGAAGAGGGTGACATGGAGGAGATCGTGTGAGGAGGAAATGAGAGCTTGTGGGCTATTGTGGAGCCATGTTCAAAAGATTTCAGCGAACAGAGTGCACTGGAGACGTGCTACTGAATCCCTTTGTTCCGGTAGGAACCCATGAGATAAATAATATATAATAATAATAATCCTGGTAGTTCTTAACCCTGAGATTCATATTTTCCTAATTGTATCAAACTGTAAAACAATTATATCATCATTCATTGTTGTAGAACCCTTGATTTCAGAGTAAGCTACAGTAATTTCTATCTTTTCCTTGGTGTAACGGTTAATTTTAGTGTTGATTGTCAATTCCTATTGTTTACCAACAGCTTAAGTGTGTTAGTGATACATGAGTACTATTTATTTTTCTCACTATAAGTTTTTGTAACTTAAACAATGTTATAGTATAGAAATAAATGAATTTTTCAATTTGGCATTGATTTATCAATTAAGCTTTATTGTATTTTTTTTTAATTCTTTATAGGTAATTCAAAGAATTTCATTTATCCAACCAAAATTAGTTCACGTATCCTAGAAGATGCAGCTTTACAATTATGGTCAAGTTTAAATTTGGACAGAGTTAATTTCAACTGTGAATTAATGCAATTAACTGCAAAATTACATCAAAATATTGCTACAGTTGCTGCCAGTTTAAACCATCATCAACAACAATATCACAATATGAATGATAATAAATTAAATCGAATTTTACAGTCATCAACTTTCTCATGTTGTTCATCGTTATCAACCTCAACAACATTTTCATCTACTCCAGTTATACATGAAAGTGTACAAACCAGTATAAATGATAATAATAATAACAATAATAATAATAATGATATAGCATTATCAATAACCAACTATTCAAATGTATCGCATATTGCTCAACTAGCATCTGCAGCTAACTTTTTCAACTCTAGGATAAATTTACCTTATCCAGCTGATTTTTATTTTAGCTGTACTAATGATGATATTGTTTTTCGTCATACTGTTGTCACTACTACACCTGCTAGTACATGTACACTAACAACAACTACCACGACCACAACCCTAATTAATACACCTGTCAATGTGTATGAGAATAAAATTGATATCTGTTCAATTAAAGACTCTAATGAGGATCCAAATGTTAATGAAATTTTAAAAAATAATTACAAGACTCCTGAACAGACACATGAACAACAACTACCAGCAGATTCTAACTTCTGTAAACCATTAGCTGATCAAGTACAGTTACCAGAAGAAACATTACAACAACAACCTGAAACTTCGATAGAGTTGACAAAATCGAAGCAAACATTGTACAGTTGTACTATATGTCGTCAAAGGTTTCATTCAAATACTGGTTTAAGACGGCATAATCTAGCTTTGCATGCAACTAAAGCAATGAGATGTGATCAGTGCGTCAAAGTATTTCGGTAAGTTCTAATTACAAGCATATCAATAAATGGTAATAACTAGTTCCCACTGTACAAGAGGTGGCTATCGTGCCTCAGTGATCAAGTGGATAACACTTTGACGTTTAAAGCGACGGGTATGAGGTTCAAATGTCAGTGAGTACAACATCACTTCCCACTAAAGTGCAGGTACACTTAGTTGACGAGTTACACATAATAAGAAACGCTCATCCTGGATTCCTCTACTAGTCACAACGTAATGCGTATTTAAATGAGTGCGTTTAATGTATAGCAAGAAAGTACTAGATCTCACATTCAGCCTAACTGTTCCATTGTCTCAACTGTTTGTTAGTTAGGTTTAAGCACTTTGAGTGAGCGAAGTTTTTAAAGAATTGTATATTTGTACTTATCCTATTCAAGGTATGAAGCTGTCTTCTATTCATTTTTAATTTTTTGATGTCATGCACACGTAATTACACTAGAATATAAGTTAAGGAATTCATTATTCGGTCTACACTGACGGTGGTCGTCGACCAGCTTTCTTAAATGCAGTATCATATAATGATCGCTCATTTTTATAGACAATAAATAATGAAAGCAAGTGATTTTACCAAACAAGGTGGAATAAAAAACTTAATTATGTCCCAGAGTAGTGATTGGTGGTAACTGCTAGGAAATCCTGGTATACGACACGGTATCCAGAGGGGATCTTAAACTGCTGATTGGATAATTCTAAGCGAAACTCAGTTTTCATTTGAGATCACAGTGGGAAAAAGAACTACCCAATGTGTGTAAGAATGGAGTTGGTTCCTGTAAATATTCTTTTTTTTGAATTTATTCTTATGCCGTCGTCTTCTTCCCTCATTATACATAGGGAGGATGAATAGGTTAGGTGAGATATTTCAGCGGACATTTCATCAAGTAGGTGGTCACTGAAAGTGGACACTTATCTATTGAGTTTGAAGTTTATGGGCATTTTATTTTCGAGGTTGCACTCACCACTGAATGATATCGGTTGGAGAACCAGTGAAAACCTGGAAGCACTGGGTGGCCATTTCATCCTAGTTTGCTGCTCCTCAGCAGTACGCAACTATGACTTCATCGGAGATCAGACTCATGACCTCCAAGTCTCGTGGCGAACCCGTTAGCCGTCCAATCACTGGATCAGAGTTCAATGGTTCACAGTTTTCTACTTCTCTCAATTCGTGAAATAGACCAACTAACCGCTTCACTTCCAGTTGGTTGATCCCACAAGCCGCAGCTTTGCATTATAACTTCAGGTTATCCATCTTGAAACATGTCAGTACAGTAATGAACTCTGGGGTTTATGGAATGTTTTATGTTTAAAGTAAAATTCATCACAGAATGCGATCAGTTCACAGTTCACTTTAGTACACAAATTAATCCTCGTATATATATATATATATATATATATATATATATTTCCAGTGAGCACCCATACACTATTCAGCGGTTAGCACTTGTTTGTCAAAGAAGATAATGCGCAAAAAGTATGATATCACTAATAAAATACCGTTACCCTGTCTCTAAATAGTCAAAACTAATGTGAAAAAGGAGGACTGATTAAATCGGATTCATATGTAGTTGCAATTATATTCTTGCTCGAATGAAACCACTGAAATGATGCTGTTCAATGAACTACGTATTCTCCTTCTATTTTATCTTGATAAGTAATTTTCAGATACTGGATGATAGCAATGAAAACAAATCCTTACTAATAACCAGTGGAATTATTTACAGTAATAAGCATCATTCATGTGGAATTTTTCACTCAGTAGGTAAAGATAATTTCCTTCAATTCGTTAAACTGACTACAAATCTTCAGCTGTAAAGCACGTATTTATGCATAGTCAGAACAAAACACTAACATTCCTTGTACTTTTCCTACTTATTTTTAAAGCTGTTGCAAAACAATGACATCACGTTGTCATCCAAGCTGGGTTTGTAGATGGAATCATAACTCCATGACATTTGATATAGAATGCTATCATGTTTTTCTCCTGAATGACCGTCACAGCATAAGAGTTGAAACAAGCTACACACTTAAAATTTCACAATTTCTTGGAGGAATGGCATTTCGTGAGTCAGTGGTCTAGTAGATAACACTCTGGTGTTTCAAGTTCGGATCCCAGTGGAAACAACATCGCCCCCTAGGAGGCAGGTAGATCCAACTGACAAGTCCCGAATAAAACTAAAAGCACGTCCTGGATCACACTGAAAAACTTGGGAATTTCATTATTACTCCCGTTTGACGATTTCTCTTCTTACTGATTGATTAGTTCAAAATCAAACTGATCTTCTGCCATATACGTTCAGAAATTCGCTTTCCGCTTCACCTTCATGAAATACTCTCACTTCATTTGAGCTTCATGGTCGTGTAACATTTTATTCATACGAAATGCAATGCCCATTTCAATTCCAATCAAATGGGAATGACTATAACGATCAAATCGATACTTTTAGGACATATTCTCGCCTCAGTTTTTGTAGAACTATTCTGTGAACTAGTTTAGGTACTTAAGAAAACAAAATCCAATCAATCAGTAAATCTTTAGGCATCGTGAAAGCTATTCATCTTGCTTATCTAAAACTAGTAATTTATAAGACTGAATGAACTATGATATACACATCACACAGTGTTAGTTTTGCAACGTAGAAGGATTTCTTATCTTCTCAAAGTTTCAAAATGACATCATTCAGTGATAAAGTCAGGAACTGTACTATGGAAATATTTACAAAAAAAAACTTTTTGATATATTGAAAATTATGCCTGATCTGAAAAAAACTGCTAGTGCTGAAGTGTACATTAAAATCTATATATGAGTGGAAAGAAAAGTGGTCTTACTCATCTAAGAGTTGAAAGTTGATCTAACTTTCTTGTTAACCCTAGAATTTTTTATTGGATTAAAAATCTAGGTTTCCATCAATGCTAAGGGAGTCTAATACTTCTCCTTATATTTCTGACTAACTTACTGGAGCAAACACTAAACTTTAGTCTCCGAAATACTGCATTACAAATCATATTTCTTGAAAGTTCTTCATAAAAATTGTATCTGTCTCAGTCACGGAATCTTAGGACACCATGCAATCGATCTACTCGGTCACCAACAATTACACCCCCTTCGCATTAAATAACAGTATTTACCATAGGAGTTAGGCATTTAGTAAATTATCAACTAGTGGAAGTACTAAATGTGAGAAATACAATCCCACAGTAATCGGAAAAGGCGTGCTGAAGGCCAGAAAAAAGTTTCCATATTCTACTAAGAGAACCGATATCACTAAAAAAATTTCCAAAAGAAAAAGGCATATTCAATCAAACAGTTCCCGGTATTGTCACTTAATACTAAGTTTCGTCACCGAAACTTTATTGGTAGTAGTCCTCATACAGAAAAAAAAGATGTGATTTTCGTCACTGAAGAAGTAATATGGTGTTTTAAGGTAAAATGTCCTTTGTTGTCATCGCACAGTGAGAAGATAAGAAAAGAAACGTTCTACTTCTTACCTAGCAAAATATTGTAGAACTAAGGCAGCTAACTAACTTCAAGGAATTAATTATCATACACTAGAATAAAGCTTTATCACCTGCCTTACTGAACTGACTAGACTTTATAGAAATGAAGTTTTCGAAGTCACCTGGAGAGAATGATAAATTTGTGCATACTAGACAACACTTAACAAAGAATCGAAATAAAATGTACCAGGATTCTACAACTGGTAAAAAACTCTCCACAGAAATCCATTTTCTAGATCAGTAATTGAACGTTTTCATAGTTTACCAAAGATCTACAAGGGGTAGTCAGCTATACGTCTAACTATGGATATCTCCGAGTCCTTATGTCATTATTTTGTGATTGACAAGAATTACGAAGTTAGTTAGAGGGATGATAGCGAATCAATCCTTTAGAGACATCTTCGAACTTGTAAAGGATATAAAAGTATCCATTGCTGTAGATATTCCCTCTTTGTTAAATTATGTCCCGTCGTTTGAAACGAAATGTTCCCTATGAACATTTGTTGATTCTAATGACTTACATATTGATTTACACGGCAAATATATTCAGAGCTAATCCTAAGATATGCATTAAATATCCTATTCGTATTTATCAGTTGAAAAATGTAGTAATATGGTCTCCAATTAGCCCCTTCCTTGCTGGATATTTTATGCGGAGTAACTTACAATTAACCGTCTATCTTTATAGAATCTGAGGGCAGTATACTGAAGATAGTTTTTACAATTGTGATGAATAAACTTCCGAAAAGTTTTATGAATTCTCATCCATCGAATAGTTTCAAGCTTCAAGTCACGTCAGAGTGAAAACATGCCTTCTGAGATATTGGTAAGTTAAACAACTGATGGATAATTTTTGAATGTAGATTTACCATGAACCTGAATGATACAACCAGCTGACAAATTTCATCAGTTTTGCCCTCATGAGAAAGAAAAGAATGTAACAACATTTCTCGTCACAAAAGCTTATACTAAATGGCAGTAAGACATTACGGATAAAAAATTCTCCTAAAAACCTCTAGGTTAGAGTGAACACAAAACTTCATTTATTGATATGCATACGTAAAGTAAATCAGTATCAACATAGGACCAGGCGTTACTGCGTAACGGTCCGAGTTGCCACAGCTCATATCAGTACATCAAGTAGAAAGGTAGTAAGGTGAAGGATGAAGATAAGAGAATGCAGTCAAAAGAAAGGTAAAGTAAGAGAAGAAAGAAAAGAGGAATGACAAACTGGTAAGATTCGGTATGGCGTTGTTAAGATGAGGATAATGTGTGTATACGTCTGCGCCACGGACATAGGTTCTGAGCCACATCCCCTAGAGTCTCCAACCACTGGTTCCTCTTGTCCCACAGACCCCAACCACCTACTCTGAATCGCCCTACATGGCTCAAACCATTAGTCAGAGTAATAAGGGACAGCTGTATGTCAATCTAAAATTCAAGTTCAATAAACTTGGCCAAGTTCTACAATCTCGTTTATCGACAG